CGGAAGTGGCGCTGTGGCTCAAGTGGTAGAGCGCTAGCCTTGAGCTGAAGAGCTGAGGGACAGCGCCCAGGCCCAGAGTTCAGGCCCCACGACCGGACCAAAAAAAAAAAAAAAAAAAGAAAGAAGAGCAGTCAAAGCAGTAGAGAAAGAATATGTTAAGCAATAAGAATTTATTAGGAATCATTTGCTTCTAAGCTTGGTAATTTCTGAAAAGTTTCAGCCCCTTTTCATTTTCAGTCACTGGTTATTTAAAATCTGTGCTTGTACGAACTAACAGCATAAAGTTTTGTCAGAATCGCAGTTCAGTCCTAATTTAAGCACAAGGTAACTTACTGGGTATGTTGGTAGACAGTTGTAATCCCAGCTACTCTGGAAAGAGGCCGAGACAGGAGGATCAAGGGTTTGAGGCAGCCTGGGCAAAAGTAGCAAAAAATACTATCTCCAACAATATCCAATCTATCAATAAACTAAAAAAGCTTGTGATCCTCCTGCTTCAGTTTCCCGGGATTACAGATGTGTACTGTCATACCTCACTTAAAAAGTGGCTTGTTTGGCAGCCTTGGAGCAAGGTGCTTGAATGACATTGTCCGGGGTCTTTGTTTTGCTTTGTCTTGTTCTCCAGCTCTGCTTTGGTTTACATCTTCAGCAAGTTCTCCCCTTACAGGAGCAAAGCTGGCTGCTGGCGACTCCTGATCCATTCTCCTCTGCTCTATTCTAACTCAGTAACTGCAGCCAAAACACAGTTCTCTTCCTCATATCTGCCAGCTAGACCCAGCGCTGCCTGCCTGGCTTGGGGAGCGAACGCCCTTGTGATGTCCTTGTTTAGTCCCTGGATCCTCTCCAGAGCCAGGGCACGGGAGAGGCTGGCAGTCACACCTGGAGCACATGAGCTGGGGCAGTTTCTCCCAAAGGGTGATCAGGAGCCAGAGCAACAGGTGTCCTGACACCAGTTTCCTTTCCGTGGCCTTAATGTTAGGTCGTCCACAGCTATATGCCCTGTACCTTATTGTAGAAGATATAATCATGGGTTCTTTCCAACTTTAGTGTGTTGTAAATGAATTGATCTGTGAACTT